CACGCACATATTGTCCTATTGTGACGTGGCGCTGTTCAATCATTATACACACCATTACATGAATACAAACGTAACAGATATAATAAGTGTGTTCCCAGTATCTCGATAATTAACAGTCAGTCAGTAACCTGACATGTTTTTTGAGTCACCATTGAAAATCCAAAAACTTAGAATTTGTTTACGAATATTACCGTTCGATTGTAATTTTGAAGAGAATATGGAAATGTTTCTTTTACTATCTTGTCGAATGAAAACTAGTATTTCAACGTTGTTATAACACACAGCACAAATGGCATGCTTTTGAGAGAAATGTATGCACATTTTTATAAAGTTGACACGTTCACCAGAATGATGATCGTTTTGTTATTAATCCAAAAACTGACACGGGCACAGAAACTGGATGCTTTCTCTTATTGTTTATACGAGTATTTATAAGTTTGCTACGTGTTTAATTTACAGGACAACTCGAGAGGCAAAACAGCTGGTCGAAATACTTTGATGGTACAGACAAAGAATCGTACAATAAGCAAACATGTGACCCACAATTGAGTGAATTGAAAGGTAGGTGGTTTATAAACATCTATATTAATAAATAGACGATAATGTATAATTATAAAATTATGTATTTCGTGTAATTTACGTTCATCTATAACATGGTTACTTGTTTTTTCAGATGTCCCGGTGGTTGGAACTTCCGTGGCAGAAAGGAAACGACTTTTATTTGGTCTAGATGGAGAGAAATTCGACGATAACACGCAATCGTTGGCTAAGTCCACAACAAGAAAAGATGGTAAGAACATATATTTTACATTGTTTGACAAACTAATCCGCATAGATTTTCAATCAAGCAGTTAGTAACTCAAAACATCGTTACACTCGCCTGTAGTTGGGAATAGTTTACATTATTTGAGGGGTATATTATTCTGATTTCGACTAGATAAACAAAATATACACTGCGTTGGTTTGTAAAAATAACGTGTTCACGTGATATATAGGACCGGACGAACACTTTGGACCGGGTACTTTTAGCGTGTATACTGTCTGGGAAACCCAGCTAAGGATTAGATGCTGCTGAAAACAATGCATCGCTTGGAAGCTACTAACAATGCAGGTGTATAAAACAAATAACATTACATGTAGGAGGCGTTCTAGTTGTTTATTTCTGTTAAGTCAAACATTTTCCATCGTCCATTCACGTCGAACGACTCGTCAAGATTTCGCCAACAGAAATAATGACAACTTGAATTTTCATAAATGAATAGAATGGTGTTGCGTTGCATCTCATTGACTGAAACGTAAACGTCTAAATACGAGACTTCGGGGACGAGTCATTGAAGTTTATCATGCACCCGCATTTAGGAAACAGAGTAGATTTCATATCGTATATAAACCGTGTGGTATTTTACATGTTCACTTGATGTGTTACAGTACCTTGAAATTAAATGCACCCAGTTAGAGAGCGAAATCTGATGACACGTAGATCCTCTGACAACTGTCATTAAATTCCAATAAATCTGCCAAACATAATAAATCCAGAGCAACTATAAAACGGGCCATGGTCCGCGAGAGCGACGATGCCGCGTATGAATGCGCGCACGTTCCGGCGTAGACGCGTATAGTACCCACGATTTAGAACGTTTACTATAACGCGCGTTATTCTCAAATGGTCCTATCATTTATTCGATGAAAATCGTACACTTTCTATGAGAAACTTGTCTACGACTGACGGACTGTGCTCATCAAGATGATTAGTGCTCAAAACGCTAAACGGTGCTACGTCATAATCATTTGAAATACGAAGATCCGGGATCTAAGTCATGACACTTGATTTAGGGATCAAACATTTGAAATCATGAGGGTGACTGAAAGAGTGTGACCACTGTAATTCTTTTTCATGTTGTCTTATCTGAACCTTTTTATTTTCTTGAATGTGCCAACATGTTTTCCCTGCAACACTTGTATTTTTCTCTCTAGCTTTCATTTTTAAAACAAATCTTTCAGCCACCCCCCTCCCCCGTGATTTCAGATGGTTAACCCTTAAACTTTGGTAGCAACACATTACATTTTGTTTAGCCCATGGGTATACATACTGCAGGTATATATCAAATAACAGGTTTGATGTCCTATGCGCCAATCATGGATTTATTACATTATTGATATGCAATATTGTACTGGTATTATTATTCTGGTGCCTGTGGCATGTATAAAACATGACGTACCCGGGAAAAGTATATTGAAGCGGATTACTATAACTAAAACCCGTTACATGCTATTACTGACTCTTATACTTAATCTATCATAAATAAAACAATAAATAAGACCCATAATTATACCTAAAAACGAGATTCATTTCATTCGCATCTCCACAGTTAGATAATGCCATAAATTCCAACCCTGGATCAAACGCGCGAGAATGTATGCGACGATAACAGTGCATTATTTATTATCTGAACAGATTTGTCCATGACTGGTTCATCCATCGAGGAAAGAAAGCGCAAATTGTTTGGTGTCGAGGATCGGACACCTGTTGAGAAACTGGATGACTCTGACAAGGAAACAGAAAGTGAGTAAAACGAAAGACGTTTCCTTTCACTACTATTATTAAATTAAATTGAATTTATTAGCACGTAGGCTTCATATTATTTGCAAGTGATGGAATGTTTGTCAGCAACAGTTTGGGAACAAAAAATGAGCGAAGCCCATGTTTACTGTTATAATTTTATTTTCTCTGCGATAAGTAAACATTTGAAATTTGAAAAGTTGAAGAAATATATTTTGGAAATATAATAGATATTGAATGTAAAGGAATTGAGAAAACAATATTTGCCAAATTGTTTCAACACCTTCTTTAGATTTCAAATGGGTAGCCCCTAATCTTCTAGATTTGCCATATGTTTTATCCTTTCCCACCTAGGCGTTCCAGTAATTGGTTCCTCTTTAAAGGAAATAAAACAAAAGTTATTTGGTGGTGAAGTCCAGACATTGGACGAGAAAATGCAAGACATGGACGATAGCTTAGTTCCATTAAAGAAAGTGTTTGATTTTATGTCACATGTTAGCGAGATTGAGACTAACCTACACGAAGTGGTTGATTTACCTTTGCTATTGAATGACATGAGTGGTGAGTAATTCCCATGAATATTCACACATCAAAGCAGTTATTTCAACCATTGTTTTAAATACACAGGAATATATAGTACTAGCTACATCAATGTGGAAAGCGTGCCCAGAATGACGGTCAAATGACCAGGGAGTATATACAAAAAACTGTATTGAATCTGTTGAAAAAAGTGTTCACCCATTTCATTTGATGTGTTCACCCATTGCAATTGATGTGTTCACCCATTGCTTTTCATGTGTTCACCCATTGCTTTTCATGTGTTCGTCCATTGCATTTGATGCGTTCCCCCACTGCATTTGATGTGTTCACTCATTGCATTTGATGTGTTCACCCATTGCATTTGATGTGTTCACCCATTGCATTTGATGTGTTCACTCATTGCATCTGATGTGTTCACCCATTGCATTTGATGTGTTCGCTCATTGCATTTGATGTGTTCGCTCATTGCATTTGATGTGTTCACCCAGTGTATTTTATTTGTTTACCCAGTGCATTTGATGTGTTCGGCCATTGCACTTGAAGTGTTCACCCACTGCATTTGATGTGTTCACCCATTGCTTTGATGTTTTCGCCCAATCGCAGTTGATGTGTTCACCCATTGCATTTGATGTGTTCACCCATTGCAATTGATGTGTTTACCCATTGCATTTGATTTGTTTACCCAGTGCATTTGATTTGTTTATCCAGTGCATTTGATTTGTTCACCCATTGCATTTGATGTGTTCACCCATTGCATTTGATTTGTGTACCCAGTGCATTTGATTTGTTTACCCATTGCATTTGATGTGTTCACCCATTGCATTTGATTTGTTTACCCAGTGCATTTGATTTGTTTATCCAGTGCATTTGATGTGCTCATCCATTGCATTTGATGTGTTCACTCATTGCATTGATGTTTTCGCCCAATCGCATTTGATGTGTTCACCCACCGCATTTGATGTGTTCACCCATTGCATTTGATGTGTTTGCCATTGCAGTTGATGTGTCCAGCAATTGCAATTTGATGTGTTCACCCACTGCATTTGATGTATTCACCCATTGTTTTGATGTTTTCGCCCAATCACATTTGATGTGTTCACCCATTGCAATTGATGTGTTCACCCATTGCATTTTATTTGTTTACCCAGTGCATTTGATTTGTTTACCAATTGCAATTTGATGTGTTCACCCACTGCATTTGATGTGTTCACCCATTGCAGTTGATGTGTTCACCCATTGCATTTGATGTATTCACCCATTGCATTGATGTTTTCGCCCAATCACATTTGATGTATTTATCCATTGCAGTTGATGTTTTCACTCGTTGCATTTGATTTGTTCAACCCAGTGCATTCGATGTGTTTGCCCAATCATATTTGACGTGTTTGATGGCAACTTAATTATAATAAGAAACGAAACAATGTCAGGTTTCACAAGTCACGTGGTGCAGGATCGCAACACATGTAAACACAATGAATTATAGGTATACCATATTTAATAAATAAATAAATGTTGCATTTACAGATGTATCTCTGGATCAGGTGTCAGACTTTGAGCTGATAAACCTTAGTCAGTCGAATCGCAGTACTGTTTTGCAACTCGCACGTAAGTTATTATTTACTTTCTGCTTCATGTGTATACATTCGTATGTGTGATTCTAACTTTGATTTATGTATAATATTTATAACATTTTAACATTCTTTGAAATTCCCAACTGTGCAATGCTAAACCGACACAATGGAAATGAAATTCAAATAATATGACATTCAATTATTATGGTTGTGGGGAGTCATACCACTTGATCACAGTTATGATTACCATTGAGTTTAATTTGTTGTTTTGTCAATAGTGGAAATGGAAAGACAAGATAGTTGGTCATCATTGTTTAATGACGAGGACAAAACTGAAGCGCATAGGCCAGTGACAGGAGCAAGCAATGGACAAGGTGTGTTGAAAAATGATTGCATATTATGTAATATTAATTAGTATTATAACTTACAGCGTGCCATAATTTTGCGGTATTTGCATTCTACCATATTAGGAAATGCAAATCCACAAATCCAATGAATCTACACGTAGGTGTCCTCCAATAATAAACAAACATGGCAGCACCCAGCATTTCCATGATATATCCTTGAGAGGAACAGATGTATAATAATGTTATTACAAGGGTATGCACTCAAACAGTACATGATCGCATCAACCTCTGCTGCACATTGGTCGATACTCCGAATTTACAGTCTTCATGTCTACTTTGCAGTATCCTCATGGTATTATTGTTATATGTAATCAGAACAAAAAGTCTTTTAAGAATCTTGTGAAATGTGATTGAAAAAGAGATAATCGATTTTGATATTAGTACTCTTACACTTGGTGGATCACATACAACAAATAAGTCTATCCCACATAAATTTTATAAAATGTTATACAAAAATATATCATTTTAGCATGAATGGACTGTTCTGAAAATATATCTCATGTTTAACATTACAGATGAGACATGTGTAACTAAGGAAGACTTGCATGTTATGTGTCCCGCTGTCACAATTGAACACTCCAGAGACAATACAGAGTAAGTTTCATGAATACATGTATACATTGTAATTTTAATTTCATCATGCACTGTAATAACAGTCAACATTGGTCCAACTGCATGATTTATGATGTTTATCACAATAATAAGCTTGAATTTGATGATAATTACAAAATTTGAGCTCTATTTTAACATTACCTTTAGTGCCAAGTTTGTGTAATTTCAAGTTTAAATTTATGAAAACTATTTATTTATGGGTATGTTTTCTACTTGCAGGAATACTGCAGTGGATAATGACACTCATGAAGATACATTGCTCATCTTGACCCCCAGTGTAATCAACTCCAAGCAGTGCGATGCAGTTCAGGGGGAAACATTTAACCCAGCTGAAGCAATTGCCAACACAATGAACGAGATTGCTGCCACACGTTCTGAGATGCAGACTCTGAAGACCTATGTAGACAAAAACTCTGATAGCATTGAGAGTATGTTGCAACAGAAACAAACCGAAAAGCTGACTGTCTCTGCAGAATCTGATATTCAAGCAATCAAGAAGACTGTTGACAAAAATGCAACTGCCATCGCTAGTATCATTGAACAAGAGCAGAAGCAGTCTCAGGCACAACAGGCAGTGAAAGCTGAAGGAATCACTGATAACCCTACTATCCAAGCTATTCTTAATGGATTGCTTTCCTTACAGAATGTAGTTGTTGATTTGAAAACAGAAATAGTCTCACTGAAGACGACAATTGACAAAATGGCAGACGATCAAGAGTCTTCCGGGAAGAAATACAATGCATCTATTGCAGACTTAAAGAGCCAGCTCTTGCTTGCGGCACCAGTGGTCAATGCCAAGGTGAGTCATCCTACTGAGGTATCAACAAAAGATGAAAGAACAGCTGTAACACCAAGATCACACGATGAGGTGACATTACCTGGTGTAAATCTAGCTACCACTGAAAATGACAAAGCATTAGATATCAGAACAAACAACGCAGTGGTCCCAAAAGTGGTAGACAGGTATGATGATATGATCACCTGTCCAGCACGTATGTGCATATCCATAGAAAACAACAATATAATAAGTACCATCCATCAAGTGAATGATGCAGACGCCAAACTATCCAAATATGATGACAGTTACCCACGATGCCTCCCCCTCAAACACAATGAATCAGAAACTACCACAACAGTAGAATCAAATCATGAGCTTAATTTCAGTTCAATTACTAAGGCCATTAGTAATGTAGCCATAGGTGCAGCACAGCTTCAAGTAATGAGATTGGAAAATCCATCACATAAGTTATCAATTACAGAGATTGATGAAGATGACCAGCAATCAGGCATTGACGATATTGTGATGACACCTGCTATGTATAAAAACATAACTAAAGGTACAGTGGAATGTGATCTTTCCAGAATGGGAAATAAACTTTGCTCTCAAAAACATCTTGTCCCATATAAGAAGCATACCAAACCTGTTACATCTCAGCAATCAAAGGAGGAGGAATCAGCCCTGAGATCATTTGCAGCTGCCTATGTAAATTTTGTCATATTGAGTAGTCAGGTTCAGTATCATAATGAAGAAGATGACAGACTAAGGACGTTGGCATCAAATAAAGACAAATCAGTGGTAACATCCAACATACAATCCTCACCTGTCAAACTAAGTGCAAAAGCAGACTTAACACCTATTGCATGTAAATTGTCTGAAGATCGGCTACCCAATGAAAAAACAGATCAAGCTCGCTGCAAATTAACAAATGGTGTGGAAACACTACTAGCTTCTGAACATGATAAGAAGACCACAGATGATTATAGTAATGCTATTTTGCTTACAAAAGGTGAAGATATCAAAGAAGAACTGATAACAGTAAAAAAGGACATAGCTAAACATAGTCCCGGGAATATAAATATTGGATCTGGCGATGAGTTGCAATCAATCAGTAAAGCAATTGCAAATGTGGCAATATCTGGAGCTCAACTTCAACTGATTAGGATGGACAGAGAGAACCAGGCAATCAATGAACATATTACAGAAATAATGGATGTGACTGAACAACAACCAAATATTGACAATATTATATTGAAACCATACATGTTCAAGACACTTTTGCCAGGCGCAACAAGAAATTTCAGCAGCCCCACATTTACACATGAAATATCATTAAGAACAAGAAGTCTTGTTCCATACAAGAGGCAAAGTCACCCTATTGTCTCGAATAAATCCAAGAAGGAGGATGAAGCTCTCAGATTGTTTGCTGCAACATATGTCAAATTTATCACTTCTAGTAGCCAGATACGTTTCTATAAAGAAGAGTCCAATAAATTGAAAATCAAGGATAGCGGTAAACCTAAATCCCTAGTTCAGACAAATGGTGGACAGCACATTACGCAACCTATGGTAAATGTATCAGCCAACTTATCATTTGAAAAACAACCGTCCAATGAGAAAACAAGAATTGGATTAGGTCTTGAAGCTGAGCTATCTGCAATCAGCAAAGCAATTACGAATACAGCTATATTTGGTGCACAGCTTCAAATGATGAAAATGGAAAGTGACAGTCCAGCAAAGATAACAGTTATAAATACTACTGATATCGATGATCAACTCACAGATATTGATGATATTATGATGAAACCTGCTATATACAAGAACATCTTGAAAAACAGATCTGTAGGCAAAGTGGCCCCACTGAGTATTGTTCCATACAAGAAGCAAACTCAACCAACCGACACACTCAAAATGAAGGAAAACAAATCAGCTTTGAGATCATTTGCTGCTTCCTATGTAAACTTTATTACTGCCAGTAGTCAAGTACGATTCTATGAAGAGGAGTCTGCAAAATTGAAAAGTAATGTGGCTTTTGGTAAATCCAGCAATCAGGGCATGAAGTCTGATAAAATGCAACAGATAAAACCATCACTGGGACTCACCACACAACAATCATTTGTGGTGTCTGAATTACCAGAGCATGGAATTAAGGGTAACTCTTTTACACCTAATATGTATAAGCAGATTATCAACTACCAAATGTTTCAAACAGCTAAAACCACGTCTTCAAAAAAAGCAGTGGAGAATGAAATAAGAAAAGATGTACAAAATGCAGTGATAAACCCAGATTCCGGCCCTAGCCAGGAAATATCCCAACTCATTGAAATTGGAGAACTCAAAACTGGGATTGTCACAAATTATCCAAGTAAAGCACTTGATTCAGCAAACAAAGACAAATTACATCATAAATTTCAACAGAATGAGAGAAAAGATTCAAATGAGAAGATGCTGCATGACATAAATAAAGTCAAGGTAGATAAAGTCATTGCAGAAACTCAGCTACAAACTTTGAAGGTAGATAAATCACCCAAAGATGAACAACAATTAAAATCCATGGTTTCCACATACATCAAATTCATCACCACCAGTAGCCAGTTGCAGTTTTATGAAGAAGAAATAAATAAAGTAAATGGTAAAGATTCATCATCTGATAATTTGGAAAACCCTGATTTAAAGCAAAATGCACCTAACAATCCAACAACGAAATCGGAACTACCAAGCATGGGTGATATGTCCATTGAAACACTGACAAACCAAGAAACTGACCAGTCTCTCATCTCATTTGAAAACATGGATGATTATGACTGGACACGTGATGTGTTGCAGGCAGCAAGTGACAGCAAGAAAAAAGAAAAAGACCTGTTAACAATGGAAACAGAAATGGCATGCATGGATAATATGTTCTTCAAACCATCGATGTACCAACATTCTGACTTGACAAATAAAATCACTACAGCTGCTGTTGAAAACAAACTATCTGACATCTCATCTGAAAACCCAGAAGAAACTGCTGATAAAATGGATGAATATGACTGGACAGATGAGGTGTTAAAAGCATCTAGTGACAACAAAGATAATAGAAATGTTGAACAAGACTGGACAGAAGAAGTTCTAGCAGAGAAAATTCCAGAAAACTTAGAATCCTTAGATGAATTTTTGGGATCAGCCATAAATAACTCGAAAAATGGTAAATCTGTTTCAGACCAATCACACACAGAAGATAAGAGACTAGAACCAACCAGACCCAGTAAGCAAATATTCAAACCCAAAACTGGGATTGTCACAAAGTATCAACTTGATTCAGCAGAAGAAAGAACACGTCATATATTGCAACGGAATGAGAGAAAAGATTCAAATGAGAAGATGCGGCATGACATAACTAAAATCAAGGTAGATAAAGTCATTGCAGAAACTCAGCTACAAACTTTGAAGGTAGATAAATCACCCAAAGATGAACAACAATTAAAATCCATGGTTTCCACATACATCAAGTTCATCACCACCAGTAGCCAGTTGCAGTTTTATGAAGAAGAAATAAATAAAGTAAATGGTAAAGCTTCGCCATGTTCATCTGATAATTTGGAAAACCCTGATTTGAAACAAAATGCAGTTAACAATCCAGCAACAATGAAATTGGAAGTACCAAGCATGGGTGATATGTCCATTGAAACATTGACCAACCAAGCAATTGATCAGTCTCTCATCTCATTTGAAAAGATTGAAGAAACTGGTGATAACATGGACTGGACACATGATGTGTTGCAGGCAGCAAGTGACAGCAGGAAAAAAGAAAAAGACCTGTTAACAATGGAAACAGAAATGGCATGCATGGATAATATGTTCTTCAAAACATCGATGTACCAACATTCTGACTTGACAAATAAAATCACTACAGCTGCTGTTGAAAACAAACTATCTGACGTCTCATCTGAAAATCCAGAAGAAACTGCTGATAAAATGGATGAATATGACTGGACAGATGAGGTGTTAAAAGCATCTAGTGATAGCAAAGATAACAGAAATGTTGAACAAGACTGGATAGAAGTATTGGCAGAGAAGATGGAAGCGAATTTAGAATCCTCAGATGATTCTTTGGTATTAGCTAAGAAGAGCTCAGATGAATCACACCCACAAAATAAGAGTCTAGAACCAACTGAAAGTGATGAATTTGAGTGGGTAACTGAGGTAATGCAAACTGCTCTTGCAACAGCACAGTCAGATCAGATGTTGATGTCATTAGAGCCAACTCAAAAATATGACTTCTCAGACGAAAGTTATGATGCAGATGAATCAGCCTCAGATTCTTCAGAAGGGATGATGGAAATATGTATGTCTAAAGAAATGGATGAACGAGACTGGGTGGATGAGATATTGGATGTTTCCCAGACTGACTATGATTATAGTTGCCCAAATGAAATCTTGGAACCAATTACAGAAGAATCAAGTGAATCTGATGGTCCAGGGTCAAATGTTGACAAAAGTATTTGTTCAAAGAAGATGTTGAAAGCCAATACTGATAAAAAAGATGAATTTGATTGGATTAATGAGGTTCTAAGTTCAACAGTTCTGGCAACAAGGCAGTCAGATGTTGATATAATGAAACATACCATGGATGGAATGCACCAATCTGAATACAACGACAGAACCATGAAATCTAGAAGCAAAGAAAACAGTGAGATTGAACTGTGTGATAATCGAGATGAGAGGAGACAAAAACATGTATCCTACGTAAATTTTCTTAAAAGAGTCTTGAGTAAATCATCTGGCTCAAGTAATGAGTCAATCTTTCTGTCTGCACCATCATCTCAGGAATTCGTGAATGGTGAAGATGCTAAAAACCTCACCAGTAAGCTCTCAATCGAGAATGATGAATGGAAGTATGAATTGGCAAGGACTCCATCAGACTGGCAGACATATGCAGAACTATATGAGTTCATTGAACCATCGGTGCTGAAAACGGCTGGGCCATTATCAGAGACAGACCTTAATGATATATGCGATAAATTAGAAAACAATGAAACACTGGACTGTGAGAATGTGATATCTTCCAAATTGCTTATCAAGCGTCTAAAAAAGAGTGGTGCATAGAAGGTCATGATTGATGTGTCATAAAAATGAATAGAGCTATTGATGATTGATTGTACACACTGATTATTTCGATTTATGTTATTTGAGTTTTCATATATGTAATGCTTGTATTTAAATATTATATATGAAATTAAACCTTGATGTTGAACTTAGTTTTTGGAATATGTTCAAATATTTTGATTATTCCTGCCTACATCCATAATGTGTATATTGAGTTGGGACTTGACCCTGTTTTTCCAATAAAGCCATTTAGCTAATATAATTGCACCAGCTGATCTAAAATTCAAAACCTGGCTTTGATCATGAACTCCATCCAGTCCCGCTGACACCAAATATGCACAGCATACTTTATAAGAAACATTCACAATTTATTCACTGTACCTCATCTCATGTACAGTGAATGAATTGTGAAATGAGCACTCTAGAAAACTGGGTAGCAGTGTGCCAACCTGTACTAGATTTCTTCAATATTCAGATCAACATTCAGAGCAACAACAGTATAGTAGACCCTATTAATTGTGTAAAAATTGAAACCTTAAAAGATTACTTGATTTAGATCTTGCAAGTCACATGAGCAACAGGTGTGCAAAAAGGTGGTACATGTTTTTACCTTGAAGATATATATTATTGTGAACTTGAAGTTGAAGTATTTGGGATAACATGTGTGACAAGTTCACTTTGGTTATTTTTTTTGACCTTTGTTTGACCTTGGCATTTAAGAATTACATGGGAAACGTGTTCCAATTTTAAAAGTTATAAGAATATGTATGATCAACAAATCAACTTTGATCTAAATTGAACTCATAGTTGCTGTTGACATAGGAAGTAAGCAAATAACACCGAATAAACGGCAAGGTTATTTACCGTCAAATTATAGTAAACATGTACTGCGTGCGTGACTCGAACCGGCGCTCACGTACGGCACCAAATGATGATATCATACGAAGTTTGATCCAAATCGGCCCTGTCATCTCTGAGAAACAGCTCCGGACATGTAAAAAGGACAATTTAGTGCTTTTACATGAAAATTGGGCGTCAGTCAGCCATATTGCATCGAATCACAAAAATAATGATGGTGCAGATGTATCTTTGTATACTATCTCTGTACAAAATTTAAACAGAAACGTTCATGGCATTCAAGAGAAAGTAGCATGGGTACCATGAAAAACAAAATGGCCATCAATCGGCCATATTTGTTTGAATCACGGAAAAAGTATGACGTGCACCTATAACCAAATATGTATGATCATCATACCAACTTTGAAACAAATTGGCCCAGTCATCTCTGAGACACTGCTGCAGACACGTTTAGGTATCAGAAATAGCAGTCGGCCATTTTTGCTCCGATCATAAAGTAACTTGACGCGCATATGTAAGACATTAAGTATTGTCTTCATGTAAAGTTTGAATGAAATCCGTCAATGGGTGTCTGTGATATAGCTTCGGACGTACTTGCGGACGGAACGAACCCAAATTAATAGTCTCCGTTTTCGGACTTTGTCTGAACGGGGACTAAAAATATTCACAATATACACTAGTTCATATATTATGTACTAGTGTATATGTGTAGCCTGGTGGGTACAAGACGACGCCAGCGAAATTTGAAAGCCAAAATACAAGCAGTTAGTTAGCCAATTCGCTAGCGAGTTTGCAAATTGGCTACCCCAATACTTCTGAGACTTGCTGTAATAACTGCTTTTAAATTAAACTCCATGATATAGTTAGTGGCTTAACCAATTTAAAATGGTCTTCCTTTCCGAAACCCGTAATCAAAAAAACTTGTACATGGCAATTTTCTTGCTATTCCCCTCTTGTCGTTCAATAACGAACAAACATTGTTACGTTACGTACTGCCAACAGTTCAAAATACGATAATACCCAAATTTAGGCAAACACACACACAGGCTGTGAACACAACAAAAACTGGGGGGGGGGGGGGGTTAGCTAGTACAGTTTTACGGGAAATAAAAAGGGCTTTTTACAATTTACAGTTTACAGTGAAAATGATTATCTAGTCGTTTTACAGTTTCGAAAATGTAATTTCCCTGGATTATTTATTCTTTACGACTTTTTTTATTTGCATGTAAATTCTTGTACGTACCGAGAAAAATGAAACATTTTTACAGTGTACGAAAAAAATATTTGATTGATTACGTTGTACAGACGTAGCCTGTGATTACAGAATTACGGAATTTATTTTTTTCAATTTACGTTGTACGAAAAAAAAATATTGCAATTACGTTGAACGAAAATAACCCTTGCCCCCCCTTCAAAAAAAAAACTGTCTCACCACAAGTGTAACTCGTGAATTCTACAGTAAACAGGCTAATCATGTCACAAAACAAATTTTTATTTTAATACTTCACAATAAGGCCAACACAATAGGGCGTATAACACTATGGGTATAATATACTTGTGAAAATCAACTAGGTAACCAAATAATTCCACAGTAAAGTAAAGAGGTCGCTAGACAACTTATCTGGGTTATCCGAGTTCTTTCACCTAGAATTAAAGAGTTCACTTCACATAGAACGGCGGTTCCTACAACATCCAGGCATTCAAATTAAATATCATCTCAAAACTGCATCTTCTTAGCCGAAGAGTGTTCCAGATTAATAGATATCTCACACCCATACAGGAAGTGACATCACATGAAAAACGCCCTCTGTGGATAAAGTCCAGTTTCAGTTGTTTTTACCCTTAAACCCAATAAAAACTTTATCCTCAAGTAACCCCAACCTTGACTTTTTGTCCAGAAAATATACACAGGTATTTGTATTGTGATCACTCATGGCATGGACATGGCATGACATTTTAAATGTTATGTTTACGTGCCAAGTTCGAAGGCCATAGCTATTCCCACTGCAGTTTAATACACCACAAACATTATATATAAACTCGGTTGACTTTGGACCTTTGACCCACGCAATGCAGCAAGGTCTTGTGAGTCGCATAGGGTAGATTTGTGATACACTGGCTATTTTCCCAATATAGTTAGTTGTATTGTGTTGTACGTAAACAAATACTATAAAACAAAGATATTCTTCTTGGAAATGAGGATTATTCATTACTACTGAACTTCCTAATAATTTGTGGGAAAAAATTATTTATACATGTAGAAGAAAAAAGCAAAATCCTAATTTCACACATTTTAAAAATTTTATTCAGGAGATTCAATACACTGAATACTGTGAAATCATTTATTTTCACTGGAATTAATTTTTGCTGAAAAAACTTTTTGGGTATTTTGTATGGAATTTATTTTCACTGAATTTTGGTGAGTTGAATGTAAAATATAGGAAAAAATGTTTATTCGCTGGATTTTATTTTCACTGAATCACTCCTTCAGCGAAAATAGCGAAAATTAATTCCAAGCGAAAAGTATTTTACAGTATATTATTGCAAACAAAAATGGCAAATTAAACTCGCATAATAGGAAGTGGGGCGAATGCCTAAAAAAGATTGTTTCAGGAAATGAGCAATTTTCTGAGCCATCTCTGTATACTAACTAGTAACTTGTACTTATCACTGTCATTATATATCCTATGTGTGTATACCACTTGTACTTATCACTGTCATTATATATACTATGTGTGTGTACTACCACTTGTACTTATCATTGTATTGTCATTAGATACTGTAATAGATAGGTAACACAGATATGTAAATATTACTTGATTCCAATAAGTATTAAAAAAACATATTGTGTACATTAGGCAAGGAACAAAAATTCTCTGTTCTCGTCTCACGTAAATTTTAAAATGAGGCGGCGAGGCGATTTTTTTTTTTTTTTTTTTTTTTTGAATACTGAGCTAAAATGGGAGAAATTTGAGACAAGTGCGAGTACGCTTGTACTTTTGGAATGCTTTAGAATAAAAAAAAAACGTCCGAGGCGCATAGTTCAAAATGATGCGCGCGGAAACGAGAAACAGAGACATTTTTTTTCTCAGCCTTATCCCCTACTCACTGTCATTGGTTTTACTTTCAATTTATGCAAATTGATTAAGTCACGCACAATGGTATAATCACATTGTACGTCGTAACTGAATGCAGTCCAAGTCATTCTAAGATTCCAGTGCGTAAGGATTTGTGCTACAGCAACTGGTATTATAGTTAGACTACACACTAGGTTGCACATCTACACTGAAGTACGTGAAAAATATCTGTAATCTGCGGGTTATTACGCCACCAATTTGCTCTTAAAGTGGGAGCGCACGCACAGGAATTGAGTCCCAAGCGATGGGTAGACGATTGTTTGTAAACATTGACACGCCATGGCCATCTGACGCATGCACCGGAAACGAGTCCACTCGCTTTAACACGCGGCGGCAATATTTGCGCTCCGGGTCCCTTGCCATTGCACGCCGACTCTTGGATACGTTCCATCAACGCGAAAGCGAGGCTTTGAACGCAGATAGTCAGCAAAATTGAAATGAGCGAATTGCCCAATTGTACGAGCCTGGCGTCCTCATTTGAATAAAACCATTATTCCGTCTTATCGGACTGACCTTACGACTCGATGATCATACTGCCGGTTAGGTATCATTCAGGTGTGTAACTAGTTAAATCAAGTTGAATCAAGTTTGTGCATCAAGGTAATTATTACAAAGAACCCTACCATTTATTTCATCGCTTCTTTGCCGAATCTCAGGATGGTTACTGCACGCGTGGTTACAATACAAATAATTGGAATGTAGTGGAAAATACTATTCCGATGTGTGGATATCTTTCTCGCCAAATTGAAATAACATTGATATAATTATTAACTCGCAAATTGGTTAACTATGAAGGTTTCGTGTCAAGGTCAAATGTTAATGGGTCGTAGCTTGGAAGGTGTCCCTACTACATGATGGTTGGGATCAATTTCACCAAATTAATAAAATATGAAGACGCATTCATTCACTTCAAGTTTTCTTAATGTATTCCTACTTTTCATGTTAAACCAATAATAGATTTTAGTCTTCGGGGGTAAGTGGTAGCAGCCACAGTTTATATGGAAACGGTACGTG